CGATTCTCTGATTACTCTCCAGTGTATTTCTCATTACCGAGAAAAGTATCAGCACCCACAATTTGTGAATTATTCCGAAAGTCGATCTTCGATTCTCTGATTACTGTCCATTGTATTTCTCATTGTCGAGAAAAGTATCACCACGCACCATTTGTGAATTATTCGTCTTAATTCATCGTTCGTTTTCGGTTAGTCAAAAATTGTGATTCTGATAATGTTCTAAACAGACTTTGGCCACTAGATCTGTGGACATTGAGATTTTTATTTCTCGTAAAAGCATGAATTCACAATTTCCTGTTTGAAGTCGAGATTACTAGGGGGACGAAGACTTTGAAATTTTCTTCGAAATTGCAACTTTTTATATCACAAATGTAGAGATTTCTAAGCCTCTTTTGCACTGTATGAACAAATAGCTACGGTTAATTGATAATTAACTGTCTCTTTCTGTGAACAAATAAAATTATCCATTATAATCATCGGAGGATTAATCAGAGCTATTTGTTTCAATCGAAAATCATTCATTTTGTAACGATACATTCTTTCCTTCCTTTTCTCTTAATTTTGCGAATGTGTCCATTTTGTACGTGCAAAGTATTTAGTTTTTTCTAAAAATTAGAATATAAAATAATTTTGCATCAATAAACATGTAACTTTCAAGTGTTACAGATACCTTAAAAAAAAAAAAAAAAACAAAGACAGAGAGTGTAAAGAACTTGTTTTTTTTTCAGAAAAGAAGAAAGAAAATTCTCCGTCCAGTTATTACATCCACGCGCGAGATTTTCCGAATGTCTTTATTTCGACGAAACGGACCCGGATCGGCAAACACTGAGCCACTCTCCTAAATTGGACCCGTAAGGGCCGGAAATTTGCACGACGATCATAATTCTCTCTCCAAGAGAGAAAGAGAGAGAGAGAGAGAGACGTCGTCGCTGGTTCCGCGATGAAACGTCGACGAGAAAAACCGTCGACCGCACGAATCTCGTGCTGGCCCTCGAATTATTCGCGCGCGATCAATCCTCATCAGCCGAATCATCAATCTTGAAACGTTGGAACGGGGAAGTAAAGCGAGATCTCTGCTCTCTCTCTCTCTCTTTCTGTTTCCCTCTTTTTTCAAGCACGCGTGCACACGCCACACGTTTTCGAAGTTTTCGTTACGCCAGACGAAATACTTCCTTTTTTCCTTTTCTTTCTTCTTTTTGTTTCAATCGGTCCCTCGCGTTCTTTCTATCCGAGCAGCGTCCTCGGAGGGAGCGCCACTTCCGGCGTACGTGCTCTTGTTCCATCGGCCCTGCTTCCCTTTGCTCTCCACGTCGCCGATTTCTTTTCTCTCTCTCTCTCTCTCTCTCTCACTCGACCGGCGGATACTTTCTATTCCGCGAAGAGGAAAGCTTTTCCAATGATCAGCCGGCTGGCAAAGAGCAAAAGGGAACGCGACGATGTTCAATCTTGAGCAGGAAGTGAGCGTGGCGATGGAAGAGGAGGGGGAGGCTTTTGACGTCTGCAAAGTGAACGTGATACGTTTGGCATTGGAACAGCAACAACACTAATTAGTAGTGGTGGGTTTGAGAAAAGCAATCAAAAGTTTCAAGTGTTGTTGCTTGGCAATTTGTAAATCTTAGTTGCAACATATTGTTACCGAGTAACATTTAAATTTTAGTCGCAGTGTGTTACTGAATAACTTTTAAATTTTTGTCGCAGCTCTTAAACTTTAGTTGCGGTTGTTACTAACATTTGCCTCGTCGATTCCGAATTTGTGCTGTGGATGTCAGTAGCAATTTTTCATTAATTCGATAGACTAGTTCAGGAGAATTTTTCCGAGGTAAAGTTCGAGAAAGTAAAATTTCGAAGTAAAATTCGAAATAAAATTCAAAGAAAAGGAATTCTCACTGTAGGGGAGAGGGAGGAT